GAGGCAGGAGACTCACTTGAGCCCAGGAGTTGGAGGTTGCTGTGAGCTGTGATGCCACAGTACTCTACCCAGGGGGATAGCTTGAGGCTCTGTCTCAAAAAGAAAATATTTTAGAATTGTTTGTCTTATCCCTTCAATTTATTTCTAATATTTATTTAACAGTTCCATCAGTATTATAGGTCAACAATCAAATAACGATACTCATATAATTTGTATAATTTCTAATGCCCAATATCTTTAAGGAAACATTTTCTCTCTTTCTTTCTTTCTTTCTTTTTTGTTTTTGCAGTTTTTGGCCGGGGCGGGTTTAAACCCACCACCTCTGGTATATGGGGCCAGCACCCTACTCCTTTGAGCTACAGGTACCACCCAAGGGAACATTTTCTATATTTTTATTTTATAAAGGGAAATTTGCAGTTACAGATGCGTTTGTTGACAAATAGTGCTGGTTTTGCTGAGGAAGGTTGAGCATGTGGTCTCTAAAGGTATAGAAAGGTCAGACTTATATGTATTTAAGATGCTCAGTGATTTACCTTGAAATCGTTCACTTATCAAAATTAAACCTATAGGCCAGACATGTGACTCCACACCTGTAATCTTAGCACTCTGGGAGGCCAAGGTGGGAGGATTGCTTGAGGTCAGTCTAAGCAAGAGCAAGATTCACATCTCTAAAAAAAAATATAGAAAAATTAGCCGGGCATGGTGGTGTGGACCTGTAGTTCCAAATACTCAGGAGGCTGAGACAGGAGAATTGCCTGAGCCCTGGAGTTTGAGGTTACAGTGACATATTATTGCTCTAGACTTGTTGAGAAGAAGACTGTGTCTTGAAACAAATAAAAATAAATATAATAATTAAAACCTATCAATATAAAGCACATTATAGAATTTACTGAGAAGGTTTAGCAGCCTTTGGCAAAATTAGCCCAACTTTTTTTTTAATTTGTATTATGGCAAAATATGTATAGCATAAAATGTACCATTTTGACTATTTTAATCTGTGTAGTTTAGTGGCATTAAGGACATTTTCATTATTGTTCAACCATTACCACCATCCAATCTTCAGAATTTTTTAATATCCCAAACTGAACATATTTATAGACAATAACTTCACATTCCTTCCCCCCACCCCCACCCCACATCCCTGGTAATCACTGTTCTACTTTCTGTCTCTAAGAATGTGATTATTCTGGGTGCCTCTTTCTATAAGTGGGATCAGGCCATGTGAGGTGCCTCACGCCTGTAATCCAGGTACTCTGGGAGGCTGAGGTGGGAAGGATCACTTGAGCTCAGGGGACCAGTCTGAGCAAGAACAAGAAGAACAAAACACAGTCTCTGCTAAAAATAGAAAAAGTTAGCTGGGCATGGTGGCAGGAGCCTTTATCTCAGCTCCTCAGAAGGCTGAGGGGAGGATCGGTTCAACCCATGAGTTTAAGGTTGCTGTGAGCTATGACACCACAGCCTTCTACCCAGGGTAACAGTGTGAGACTCTGTCTCCAAAAAAAAGTGGGATCATATCATGTTTACTTTTTGTAGCTGGCTTGTTTTCCTTAATGTCTTGCAAGTTTATTAATGTCATAGCCTGTATCAGAATTGTATTCTTTTTTGAGGCTGAATAATATTTTATGGTATATATACATATACCGTGTTTCATATATCCACTTCCGTCAGTGAACAGGAGTTCTTTCCACCATTTGGCTATTGTGAATAATGCCATTATAAACACTGGAGTACAAACATCTGTTTAAATCCTGCCTTCTTTGTGTATATACCCAGAAGTGGAATTGCTGGATAAAATGGGAATTAGATGTTTGAATTTTTAAGTAACCACCATACTAGTTTAACATTTTGTTTTGCTTCTAACTTCTAAATTCTAAGGTACTTCCCAGTATTTTCATTTACATTTTTTTTTAACCTGACAAAGCCTATTTGCAGACAGAAGTTGGGGACTTTTGTAGACCTAGAGGGGTAAGCTAGGGGGATGGAAATTAAAGCCCTTTGCCTTCCCAATTAGGAAGTGTAATGGGAGACCCTCTGACATCTAACTGGGACCTCAAAGAGCTACACCTTCATAGTAAAGTGAATCAGAACTAAACTTGCCCTTGGGGATTATAGTGGCCTTGGCTCCAAGCAGAATAAGAGAAGAACAAGAAAGGGGAAAAATATAGTTTGTGGAAAATCGTAGTCATAGAAAGGCCCTCATGTGAATTTGTACTCTGGGCATACATACTCGAGGTGAGCCAGGAACCATCAAACTTTGAATTTGGTTTGGGGCATATTCACCTGTTACAGCTTCAGGGGCCTGGCCAAAAGAAAGGAAATGCCTTTCTCAAGGAAAATGTATGT